GCATGATTCCAGAATATGGAGAAACTAATAAATAAAGCAAATGTTGTACTACTTGGAGATGACGGTTATGGTGTTGAGCCATGCCTTATGACTCCCTTCAGAAATCCTACTCCAGGTGCAAAAATAAATTATAATAAGCTTTTAAAACAAAAAAGAGTTATAATTGAACGGTGTTTCGGCCATCTGAAATTTGGAAAATGTGCCGAAAATAATTATTGCTTGTATTGTACTCCATAATGTTGCGAACAGTTTGGGCGATCCTGACAGGTCCTTAAATTATCGAAACTAATAAACATTTGTAGCAAAAAATCTACAGAAAAAAAAAACAAAGAATATTTAACTGAGATCAACCATAATCCATTTTGTCCATATGCTTCGGACAAAATGACAAATTGCTAACGGACAAAATGACATACATATAATAGCTACAGAATTATTGCCATAATTCACCAATGAAACGCTTAGTTTTTCTTGGACCATCAGAGCAAGAAGCGTGAGCCCAAAGCGAACATTGTAAGCACCGTAACCAGTCTTCTCCGGGCTTACATCTTGAATAAAGGTTGTTACAGTAAATGCAAGCACAGTCCTGACTTCATCGTCATGAGAAATATACTAAGTAACATATAAATCCGAACACCCAGTTTAAATGGTTTTATTTTAATAAAATTTCAAAATGATTGCACTGCTTTAAAGCCCTTTGACCTTTAATAATGTGTGGATGCACCCTGATGTGCTACGCATTCTCCAACACGCCTAGGCATGCTTCTGATCAGGTGGTCAATGTCCTCCTGTGGTATCTCCTTCCAGGCAACCACCAACTCCTCTCAAAGTGCTTCTAGAGTCTGAGGAGGACGTTGCAAATTGAGCAATCTCCTACCCATCATATCCCACACGCGCTCAATTGGGGATAAGTCGGGAGATCTTGGTGGCCATGGTAACAATGTGACATCATTATGTTGCAAGAAGTCTATTGTGACTCTTGCAACATGTGGTCGGGCATTATCTTGTTGGAAAGTTGGATCTGCCAGGGTAAAAGATGGGGTTCTAGAACTTCGTGGATATAACGCTGCGCGTTCATGTTACCTCTGATGAAGATTAAAGGTGACCTGGAACCATAAGCTATAGCACCCCAAACCATAACTCCAACAGTGTGATGAACATGTCTTTCAACAAAAAACTGTGGATTCCTCCTTTCACCACGTCGCCTTCTAACCCTGGCACGACCATCGTGCATGCCTAAACAAAATCGAGACTCGTCACTAAAGACAATACTGTTCCATTCCTGATCCCAGAGTGACCGTTGTCTGCACCACTCAAGGCGATTACGTCGGTGTTCTCGAGTTAAAGGGAGGACCCAGTGTGGCCGGTATGAAAACAAGCCAAAACTTCTCATTCGTCGGTAAACACTTCGCATGCCAATAGGTCTTCCGTGTTCTGCAAACCATTCATTTGCAATGGACCTGGTAGTGGAGAAACGGTCCCTTAAGGCCAATAATCTTAGGCGGCGATCTTCACGGTCTGTTGTTCTACGGCGGCGTCCAGTGCCCCTTGCTCTTTGCGTACGGCCTTTTCGAAGCCATGCCTGACAACACCTAACCACATTGTCTACACGTCTTTGCACTCTAACCGCAATTGCCCGAAAAGAAAGTCCAGCTTCCCGAAGTCCCACTATACGGCCCCTATCAAACTCACTAAGTTGACGAAATCGTACAGGTCTCCGTACTCTAGGCGTCGTAACCGATCGTAAAGGATGTCAAGAACCAAAATCCGCCAACGTTGACTTTTTACTGCGGCTGAAATATTCATTTTTAGAGCGTTAGTGAATTAAAAAAAAGCAGTATAAAAACCGGAATGTCCAACTGATAAGGCTGAAAATTTTTTCACTTGTTATTTACTGCAAGATAAATACATTCACCAACTTTTATTAAAATAAAACCATTTGAACTGGGTGTTCGGATTTATATGTCACTTAGTATATACAATGGCTTGCGGACAGATTTTTAGTTGAGAATGAGGAAACTCGAGGAGGAGCACTTTCATGTATTCATAAAATGAAGATATGTCCTCGCTATCTCGGTGACTTTGGATATCAACAAGGTATTGGTCAGGAACTTGGTGTTAGTCAAGCAACGGTATCTCGGACTGTGGATAGAGTTGTGAAAAGCACAGTCAAGTTTCCAACTACCAACCATGAACTGATAGAGGCCAAGCGGATATGGCGAAGCATGTATAAATTTCTGACAGAAATTGGTGTAATTGATTATACACATATAGGAATCCTGAAACCATATGCAAAACTTAAAAGACGTCCCTCGTATGGTAAGGTTGTATGTATAATTTCAATAGGAGCGTGTAACCCTAGGAAGGTGAAAATATATCTAATAAATAGTGATAATTTATAAAAAGAATTAAATTTTGTTCTCGTTATCGATATTATGTCTATTTGATCAAACGTATTAGAAAACTAACAGTTTCAACCTTGTTCTGCATTGAGACACTTTTTTTCTAAAGCAAAATTAGTACTGATAACACTGATCAACAGCCAAAAAATATCCTAAATAAAATCAACAAAATATTACTATTTTTAATGTGCTAAAACCGGAATGTAACTTATTTTTTTAATATCAATTCAAGTTTTAGAGGTACGGTAATTATATGTGTTCCTGCTGTGACAGTGTTAATATACTGTAATTCACAAGAATGCACGTGCTACATTTTTATATTCGGCAAGGAAAGATGATGTAATCGGCATGATTGTGTTACGTTATACATACGTGTACATTATATTGTTTTATATTAGCCATTTTTTTCCTCAGTTGGCTGACAGCGTTCATGCAAGATGTCTCGAAAGTGTGTAAACAATCCAGACCAGTTTTGTTACGTGTGTGGTGATGTGACTTTTGCGTCTCAGAGACGGTCTATTACTCCACTAATAACAAAGGCATATCAGCTTTATTTCGGTTGTAAACTAGGTGATCAAGACAAACAGTGGGCACCCCACATCTGCTCTAATACATGTGCTTCAAGTCTGAGGAGCTGGTTAAATGGCAAAAAACGGTCTATGCGCTTTGCTGTCCCAATGGCTTGGAGAGAGCCTACAAATCATATTAATGATTGTTACTTTTGCATGGTACCTTGTGTTGGACAAGCCACAGGTATGTCCAAGAAAAAAAATCGGTTATTAACTACCCAAACATACCATCTGCGATGAGACCTGTGCCTCACAGTGACGAAAATCCTATTCCAAAACCCTCAGAATCCTACACTTGCGAATCAGAAAACGATCATGGCGATCGAGTGATTCGTCAGGAAGAAGATATGCCATCAACGTCAAGAGATCCTGATTTTATACCGAGCACGTCATGCCACCAACCGCACAAAATAACACAGTCAGAATTAAATGATCTTGTAAGAGATTTAGAACTTCCAAAATGTAAGGCAGAGTTACTTGGATCAAGACTGCAGCAGTGGAACTTTTTAGAAGACGATGTTTCGGTATGTGTTTTTCGTAAACGCCACAAAGACTTAGAACCATTTTATCAATATGGAGAATAACTTGGTTTTCTGCAGTAACATTAACGGCTTACTGGCGGCTTTAAATATAAACTATAACCCAGAAGAATGGAGATTGTTTATAGACAGTTCAACATTGAGTTTAAAGGCAGTGTTATTGCATATTGGAAATATTTTACCAGCTCTTCCTGTAGGGTATGCAGTTCACATGAAAGAATCATATGACAATATGAAGTACCTATTGACATGCATAAAATACGATGAGCACCAATGGCATATTTGTGGCGATTTGAAAGTTGTTGCACCTTTACTTGGGCTGCAGCTAGGCTATACAAAGTTTTGCTGTTTTTTGTGTGAATGGGACAGTCGGGCAAAGGCACTTCATTACACCAGACAAAACTGGCCTGTTCGTCAATTCCTAGAGCCAGGTCAAAAAAATGTTGGGTCTAATGAAAAACTTTGTCAAGGCATTAGATAGAGATGGGTCAGCTTTTCAATACCTGCGTCAGAAATTTCCAAGACTAAGTGAGGCAAAGGTTAAAGAAGGTATTTTTGTTGGGCCACAGATTCGAAATATTTTGAAAGATACACAGTTTGAAAACACTTTAACAGGTATTGAAAAAACTGCTTGGAATGATTTCCGTCTGGTGGTCACTAATTTCTTGGGAAATAGAAAAGCTGATAACTATAAAACCCTTGTCAAAAATATGCTGTCATCGTATCAAAAGATAGGCTGTAATATGTCTCTTAAGATACATTTCCTACACTCACACCTGGACTTTTTTCCTGACAATTGCGGAGCCGTAAGTGATGAGCACGGCGAACGTTTTCATCAGGATATTTCATCAACGGAAAAAAGGTACCAGGGAAAGTGGAATCCTTCCATGCTTGCAGACTACTGTTGGACTCTTGGTAGAGATGCTCCAGAAACGATCCATAAAAGAACAGCAAAAAGACAGCGCATATAGTGATTCTTATAAGTATATGAATCTTGTTACTTTTTTTAATATATCCTTAAAAATAAAAAGTTTTTTTTTCTAAACCGCAACTAATTTTTTTTCATTGTCATTTTTGGATTCAGCGCCCCAAAATTAACAAAGAAGTGCACTTTTACCACAAGATACAATTAAAAAACTAAAATTTGTTGTCCAACATAAAAAGAATTAAATTTTGTTTGTCGTTATCGATATTATGTCTATTTGATCAAACGTATTAGAAAACCAACACTGTTTCAACCTTGTTCTGCATTGAGACACTTTTCTAAAGCAATATTAGTACTGATAATTTATATTCTAATCGAATGTGCATGAATTTTGGAGTTAAAACTACGCGTAATATCGTCACGTTTTTATTAATGTGGAAAATAAATATTTCAACGTTTGGTTCCTTGTTGAGTCTTATATGGTGAAATTATTGGATCAAACTAGCGACAAAATAGGTTTAAAACACTGCGCATTGTTAAATACACAGGCACGTGGGATACTTACCGGTTTTAAAGTAATCACAGACATCCCGTCACCAAACAATTAGAAAATCTAGGTAAGCTTCCTTTTCTTCCTTCTCTTAAAACTTCTAAACCTTCTTTTGAGCTGCTTCAGAACTTTTTGGCTTATATCTGAACTTCGATACGTTTTTCAAGCTTATTTAAACTCGCCTTCACTTAATTTTATATGCACTGTTCAAAACCTTATGATAATATACAAAACGTAACTGGTATACTTGAAGCTTCGTCAGGTGATGCTTCTTCTTTAATACTGTAGTGCTATTTGATAGTCTTCGGTATCTTTCAAAACTAGATTCACGCTAAACAGACCTTGGTGAATCTCAATTTCCGTCAAAGCTAGCGAAACTCCTCCACAAGATCTTCACTTTATCCGAGAACCGTCAACTACGCCTGGTAAAAGTCGTTTGCCAGAACTGACCGATGATAAAAACAAGAAGTTTGTCGAACGATGTCGTAATGTGTGTAATCTCGCCAAAATTGTTTTCGATATGCGATAACTGACGCCGCGCAGCTCACTTTTTAAAAAATATACTAGAATATGTCGAAACTGGCTCGAAAATCGAATAATAACTGCGACGTGTCGACGTACGCAGCTTATGATGCTTATGCATGGTGTAATTTAAATTTGTTCAAAATATACGCATGGTCGGGTAATAACGGCGAAGAGAGGGTTCGAACATTCTAGTCGAGAAAACGCATAACTGAACGATGCCTTTTCGAAGAGTATCTTCAACCAGCAAGGTCCAAAGTCCTGAAAGGGGGCCACCCGAATTGGATGTAAGTTTCATAGGGTGGTGGAGAGTAAATGTACTAGCAATGAAAGAGATACACTTGAAGGACTCTTGGCAAAGGAATCACGAGAATTACCATATGGATGAAAGAAAATGGCTTGAAGTTCGCTCCTGCGATGACGGAAGTAGTTAGCAGACAGCAGCTAACTTCATTAGCTGTGAGAGTTGATAATTCCGAGATTCGGAGCCAAAATGCAATCAAGTGTCTGGATATATGCTAGACCATAGTTCCCGAAACTTTTTTGTGTCGTAAACCCCTTGCCATGTTTTTCCAGACCCCTGAATTACCTGATATTGATTTCCTGTAAATTTCTAACTGTAGTGAAGTTTAGTGTTAAAAACTTAAAGTAAAAACACATGTTAATTTATACATTTATTAATTGAATTTAAATTAAAACTACTCAAAATAAAATTTTGTATATGTTATGTAAAATATACGTAACATTAAATAAACAGGTGTCTGACCGATAAGTGCCCTCATTGGGAATAAGTGCCCGCATTGAAAAAAAATAACAGGGATTAAATAAAAAAAAGTGAAATATAATAAAAAAAAAGTTTTTTACTTAAAATAGTACAATAAGCGAGTTCGTTTATCAATTATAACATAAACGTATGTTCTACAATAATTTCACTGTTAGTTTGATTAAATTCCGCTTCTTATACGTTTAAGTTATCTAAAAATAGGCAAAAAATTAACGAATTTTAGTGTGTACCTATCCTTGAATTTTCAGAATAATTTAAAAAAAAATATTTTCTATAAAGGGAGGTTCTTTAAAAAAATCAATGCGGGCACTTATTCCCAATGCGGGCATTTATTGGTCAGACATAAAATAAACTATGAATAAAATAACATAAGCAATAAGTCAATATTTTTAGTGAGAAGGATGAACCTGATGCTTTAATAATAAGTTATCAACATTTGGCGTCAATTTTGTAAGGGTTAATCTTAAATCTCCTCGGCTAATGATGTCCAGTCTGTTTCTTTTTTCGTGAGGAGATTGGTAACAGCGTTGAACCCCTTTCCACTAGGTATGACGATGGAAAGGATATTAAAAATTTCCTCGCTATATTCCATAATACGGGATAAGTAACGGGTATGTTGATTTGCAGCCAGAATTGCTGATATCCGTTTTTAAACTGAACCTTAAGTTCTTCGTTTGTACTTAGTTCAGTCAGTTCCTCTTGTATTATGACATTCGTTTCTTCTATGTCACCATATGGATTAATTATCCACGGTGGTATTACCATAGTTAAAATATCCTCAAACCTAGATTCAAAATATGAATAGAGGGCATTTAAATGTTGAAGGTAAGTTGAAACGTCGTCTTCCTGGAAGCTTGTCTGTGACAAATTGGGGAACTGAGAAAATTACCTTGTCCAATATTTTGCTTCATTAATTTAACTCTGGCAAGAAACGCTGATAAGATGGACTTTGTTTTAATCAAATTTAAACTGTCGCCTTGTAATTGCAAATTAACCATATTAAATTTTGTAAACAAATCTGTTAAATAGGCGATGTCTGTTTACCTCTTCATTAAATTTTCTTTTAAAATTTTATCTTTAGTATCCAGAAATTCTAAAATAGTCTCAAAAAGTGCAAAAAATCTTGTAAAACATAAGCCTTTCGACAGCCAGCGTACTTCAGTGTGAAGGAGTAATTGATGAAAGTGTTCGTCATTTTCTTCACACAACTGCGCAAATAACCGCGTATTCAACGCGTTGCTTCGGATTCGGTTTACTGCATCAATGACTAAATGAAGTGATTCATGCAATCTAACACTCAAATTTTTAGCAACTAAATGTTGTCGATGGATGACGCAATGTATTGCTAACACCCCTGACACATTTTGTTTTAAATAGCTTATAAATACACGATAACGTCCAACCATGGCAGGTGCTCCATCTGTAGCTACTGATATTATATCTGATAAAGGAATTGCTTTTTCAATGAAGTAATTCTTCAAAACATGAAATATTGATTCACCTTTAGTGTCGGTTATCAAAGTTCTTGCGAAGAGCAGTTCTTCGTAGATTTCTTGATTCATAATAAAACGAACATATGCCAATAATAATGCTGCATTATCAGGTAAAGTTGACTCGTCCAGTTGTATAGAGAAATGGGTCGTTTGCAAATAATTACATAAGAAGCTTTCAATATCAGAACTCATTTCATCAATACGTCTTTCAACAGTATTGTTGCTTAAGGGAATTCTTTTAATGATATCAGATGCAGGTTTGTGTAAAACAGTTTTTAAAACCTCTTCAACGGCTGGAAAAATTAACTTATCTCCGATAGTATGCGGTTTTCCGGATTTTGCTATAAGTAACGAGATATTGTAAGACGCCCGCAAACCATCGTAATTTCTTTGTGACGTCGAAGCGAACATTCTGTCCAGTGTAGGTCTCTTCTGAAATTTATCTTTGAGTGTTTGAAAGTATTTCAAATCTTTCTCTGTTTTATCAGGGTGGCACCTTCTCAGTTTAGATGGTTTCATAGCGTCATTGCCCAAAACTTTGTTGCATAAAAGGCACAGAGGCGATTGTTTGTCCGGCAATGATGGAATGAAGCCAAATTTCAAATAATCAACACTGTACTGTCTACATTTCTTTTTAGATTCGGACATGGCATCAGCCATCTGTGGGCAAAATTAAATTATTTAAATAAGACAGAAAATCCAGCAGCTGTATATTAAAAATATTTTTTGATTTTTCCGAAAACATTCCATAATTCGAACATCTTCTTGCAACAATTAGCTCGAATTACGGAGATTGCACTTTAATTATATTACCGATTGCTAAAACTTTCAAAAAGAAACTACTGAGGAGTACTCGTGTAATTTTGATGATTGAATATTCAACTACCAATAACTAAAGTCATGATTGGCGTAATTTATCTATATTTGCTAACTACGAGCACAAAACTAAAATTTAATAAAAAATAATGTACTTACTTTTCTCCAGCACTCTCAAACAAAATAACACTGACTCACTATAATTTGTGTGATATACTATCTGTTTATATTTTTTAAAATATTTTCTTAGCGCTTTCCTTTTCAAGATTCAGGAAACGAATAAACGTATTTGTCCCACATTCGTATTTATAGAGTGACGAATTGAACAAGTCAGTGCAAGGTAGCGACTCTCAGGTTTTTACAAGTTCAAAATGTATTGCGACCACAAAGCGAATACCAACATCCTACAACTTACACAATTTTTTAAACATATATAATAAATTTTTTACTTCATAGGTACTTTTATAAATAATGTATATGTTTTGATATTATAAGATAGTACGATGTAATTAAATAGGTACTATCAGTGTACGTGTTGAGATCCACTATCGTGGACCCCCATATTCATTTCATGGACCCCCAAATTTTTTTTCGCTGACGTAGACCCCTTGCAGGTTCGCATAGACCCTTAGGGGTCGATATAGACCACTTTGGGAATCAATGTGCTAGACAAAGATCTGAAATGATGAAACTTATAACGCGCACCACTGACAAGGTAAATATAGAACGATATCGACCAAAGCACTGCTGGTGGTGGCTGGTATCCCGCCAATTGATTTTAAAGTTGCGGAGAGATGAGCGCTCTATAAAAAAGGGGTCAAAGCTATAAGCGACGAAGTTACTTTTTGTCAATTGGCAGGAAAGATGGGATGCAAATGGCCATGGTGCATGGACCAGACGGCTGATCCCAGGTATTGAAACTTTGATTGACAAGGGAGTAGTGTGGATAGATCACTATACCGCACAGTCCTTCACAAGACATGGTTGTTTTGACAGCTACCTGAAGAGGGTAGAAAAGAGAAAATACGCGAACTGCGTATATTGAAATGAAGAAGAGGATACCTACTAAAATGTGGTAGGTAGACACAGCTCGAACAGAAGCTCCGCGGGGTTGATATTTAACCAACAGTGAAGCGATTGATGTTGAGTAAGGTATGGAAGAAAAAAAATTGACTAAGTAACAAATACTATGTTTCCATTTTACTAGGCTGTACATGTTCGTAAGTATAGTGCATGTATGTGTTCGATAGAGAATAGATGACTAATACCTTCGACATGAGAACCTAGCGCAGCGCTATCCACTATGAAGATATGTTGCAAGTATTACCGTGGCGGAAGACTTAGGAGTATTAGAGAGTATGCTGTTTCTAGAGAATCTCACACTTTTTCTACCTGAGAGTGGTTATAAGGCTTTCCCCTGTCCAAATAAAAATGTGCAAAAACTATTGTTTGCGTAACAACAAAATAGTAGCCATGAGTGGAAGAATCTTGAGCCAACATGCAGACGACTCAGAGAAGAGATTTGCACATACTACTCAGAGATATCCGACAGAAAGAGTCGATGGGTGTCAAATCTGATGATCGTGGCGGTCATGAAATATACTAAGTGACATATAAATCCGAACACCCAGTTTAAATCGTTTTATTTTAATAAAAGTTGGTGAATGTATTTATCTTACTGTAAATAACAAGTGAAAAAATTTTCAGCCTTATCAGTTGGACATTCCGGTTTTTATACTGCTTTTTTTTAATTCACTAACGCTCTAAAAATGAATATTTCAGCCGCAGTAAAGAATCAACGTTGGCGGATTTTGTTTCTTGACATCCTTTACGATCGGTTACGATGCCTAGAGTACGGAGACCTGTACGATTTCGTCAACTTAGTGAGTTTGATAGGGGCCGTATAGTGGGACTTCGGGAAGCTGGACTTTCTTTTCGGGCAATTGCAGTTAGAGTGCAAAGAAGTGTAGACACTGTGGTTAGGTGTTGTCAGGCATGGCTTCGAGAAGGCCGTATGCAAAGAGCAAGGAGCACTGGACGCCGCCGTAGAACAACAGACCGAGAAGATCGCCGCCTAAGATTATTGGCCTTAAGGGACCGTTTCTCCACTACCAGGTCCATTGCAAATGAATGGTTTGCAGAATACGGAAGACCTATTGGCATGCGAAGTGTTTACCGACGAATGAGAAGTTTTGGCTTGTTTTCATACCGGCCACACTGGGTCCTCCCTTTAACTCGAGAACACCGACGTAATCGCCTCGAGTGGTGCAGACAACGGTCACTCTGGGATCAGGAATGGAACAGTATTGTCTTTAGTGACGAGTCTCGATTTTGTTTAGGC